AAGCATCTGGTGCCTATCCTATCGGCCACGTTCCATTTTTTTTCCCTGTGAAGGGAAATCTCCTCTGATGTGATAACTTAAGTTGACTTGTTCCATCCCATGGAAAATGGGATTAGACTTACAATTCCCCAAAGCCAGGCTGGCAGGTCACTCTTGTCAGTTGTTGGTGAGCATTCCACACAACCAGGCTAAATGGAGTTTTTAATCTGAGAAGACAAAGAAAATGGAGAAGGGGCAGAGAGGTTTATGAGAGTTATTTAAGTTTTATGTGGATAGTAACATCTACTCTCTTGTTAAAGTAAAATAGGAAAAAAATATGAGTGAAAGTTTACCACAGAGGGATTAGGCATTAGATTAAAAAAAAATTAGTTGACAGTTTTAGAGATGTGTTTTTAGCAACGTGTTTAATATTACCTTATTTCATTACTATAAAGTTGTATAAATGTCCCAAAGAGTTTACTATGAAGAAATTAATGACCATTTAGTATCATAAATTCACACAATCTCATACTTGGAAGGGAAATCATGCATTATTTATTCCATTTAAATGCATGAATTCTTCTTCAACAGTATTTATAAAGAATCACCTGACTCTGCCGGGGGGGTGGGGGTAAATTCCACAAAAAAATACCAGTAGAAATCATTCAATAGGACATTGTGGAAGGAGAAATCATCAACATAAAAATCTTTATATAAAAACAGTAGAAACCTGATCAAGTAACGATTTGACAGATATGCTTGACTTTAAAATCTAACCTACTCAGTGGTAAAGCTATTGCTATCAAATATATCTAATAGTAGGCTATCAAATATTAAATAATTAATTCAATTTTATTGTTTTTATTTTTTATTTTTCTTTGAGAGGGAGTCTCGATCTGTTGCCCAAACTGGAGTGCAGTGGCACAGTCTTGGCTCACTGCAACTTCTGCCTCTTGGATTCAAGTGATTCCCCTGCCTCAGCCTCGTGAGTAGCTGGGATTACAGGTGTGCACCACTATGCCTGGCTAAGTTTTGTACTTTTAGTAGAGACAGGGTTTCACCATGTTGGCCAGGCTGGTCTCAATCTCCCGATCTCAAGTAATCTGCCTTCCTCAGCATCCCAAAGTGCTGGGATTACAGGCGTGAGCCACTGTGCCTGGCCCCAAATTAATTTTAAATGCTTGAAAAGGGTTTCAGTGTTTGGAAAGAATTTTACAGAAACCTAAAGCCACTCAAATTTTAAAAATTTATTTTCACAGAATTGCCCTAAATTACACAGTTCCTCAGTGTATGTACTGTTCATACAGATAACTAAATATAACTTACCTGTAAGCTCTCAGTATTGTTCAGTACCCATAGTTTGATGCTAGTCTGATCGGAGAACAGTAGCAGGAATAAAAGAATAATCTCAGTCAGGTGTCAAGAAGATAAGGCTGATTAGAGCAGCGAAGCATTTCTTTTATCATCCACCACTTAGAGCTATAGACACTCATTTTTTACCTTGTGCATGAGTGAGAGTGTGGGTTTGAGAGAAGAGAGCTCAGGTTTAATGGGTTCTCATAGTGAGCATTCACTGACTTTTACATGAGTATATGTGGTTAGGTAGAGAAACGTAGTATGAGTTATACATACTAATACTATGTTCACAGATAACACTTCTCTGGAGTATCTGGAGTACTCTAGATTTTCCCATTCCTTTTTTTGTTGTTGTTTTGAAATGGAGTTTTGCTCTTGTCACCCAGGCTGGAGTGCAATGGTGCAATCTCAGCTCACTGTAACTTCCGTCTCTCAGGTTCAAGCAATTCTCCTGCCTCAGCCTCTCAAGTAGCTGAGATTACAGGTGCCTGCCACCATATACAGCTTTTTTTTTTTTTTTTTTTTTTTTTTTTTTTTTTAAATAGAGACAGGGTTTTGCCATGTTGACCAGGCTGGTCTCAAGTTCCTGACCTCAGGTGATCCACCCGCGTTGGCCTCCCAAAGTGCTGGGATTACAAGCGAGAGCCACTGCACCCAGCTGATTTTCCCATTCCTTCTATCATCTGAGAAAATGTCTATTGTTAAAAAAGAAATGTCAGTATTTGCCATGGTAAATTAATGTATATATTAGGTGCCTATTAATGATTCTATGATTGTTTTACATTTTAAAAAAATGATTGGGCATGTCTAAATATTATGCACTCAGATTTTGACCTTCAGATGCAAGTTTTTGAAGATTACCATTTGTTGAATAACCTACTATATTTCCTTTAGAGGCTCATAATATAGGCTACAGCATTTCTGCTAATCTTGTTCGAAACTCTTCTTAGTATGAAAAAAACAAAGTGACCACTTGTAATAGTTACTCCCTTTCTATGTTGGGCTCCTGAAATGGCCTTTTCATTCTGTAATAAGCTATTTGTGTTCACTTCATTTTGCTTCAGTCGTTTTATTTTTGTCATCTTTGGTGCTATCGTAGTGTACTATGATGGAACATGCTGAATCAGAAAACTTGTAAGTTTTATTGCAAATATGTCTCAAGGCAAATTTATAAGTTGCACTTGATATCACAAACTACTAGAGAGAACATGCCTTTGTTCTAAATTACGAAATGCTCTGCTATTCTAAATGTGAAGTATGTTGAATATAAACTGCCTTTTTTGTAACACCAGGAGCTTCACATAGGCAATATATAAGATACTCCTCTAAAAATGTATTGTGTACAAAACAACTTCGCCAGCTAAACTGTATTAAAACTTAGATTTTTCAGGCTGTAAAGCTAATATTTAAGGTGAAGCTATGTTACAAAAACCTGATCATATTAAAGATATTAACATTTGGTTTCAGTTTTCTTTTCATGGAAGGATAAGAAGGAGCACTAATTTATTTAGCAGCATTTAGCCAGGGTGACTATTTGGGCAAACCATTTATATATTTAAATGATGGCACTGGGAAAAAAATCGTGCTAAACTGTGATCTCACCTCCATTAAATTAAAACCTTCTGCTGGTTATAGTTAAGTTTGATTGCTAGTACTGCCAGACAGCCAAGGGCCCAACCTTGTACTGGTAGGGTGTCTGGTGACCTGCAATATGTGCTCTCTCCATCCATAGACCTGCAGGTTCTAGATGGTACTCTGTACAACCATCTGGTCTTCACCTTTGTATTTATAGAAACTGAACAAATGAGTATTGTTATAACTTGTGTAGATATGTTCCGTTTCTTCTTCCTGTGTTACCACTTTTGGGTAACCTCCACTAAACAGGGATATATGTTTAAAATGTTCATGTTTATAATACAGTTTTACTGATACTACTGAAAACAGCAGTAAATTGCTCTCTGGAAACAAAAATTTTATTGTTATAATATACCAAGATAATTATAGTATGTCCTGCAAGTAAATGTCCACTCACTTTGTTATTTAGTTGCATCCTAACTATATACGGCTCATTTTATTCTTGCTTTCACCCTCAATTATTCATTTACATTATCACTTTAGTTTATCTTTTACAAATGGCAGAATTCATTTAATCGTTTAGAATATTTCAGAAAATTCCAGAATTACACTTTCTCTTCAAATAGGATGATTTAAATGCATTATTTTATGCATCAGATGTGTAGAGCAAAGAGGAATTATCATAGTAGTTTCCATGGAGTAAATAATATACATCAACAAAACAAAACTCAATAAAATGCAGATTAAATTTTGCTGAAAGTTACTATTAGAAATTGGCATAAATATTCCTCTAACAAACATGGCCCATAATGTATTGTTTCCAACACAATTTTGTACATGATGGAGATTGGTGAACTGCAAGAGTATTCCCAGTGCCTTTGCCCAATGCTAGTGTTGGTTGCAAAGATCCTCAGGAAATCATTAGCAAACTCTATCTAGAAACACACCAAAAGTTCAGAGGTATACATTACATGAGATTCATGGCTCATGGTTATAGAGTTCTGTGCGCATTCTTTCTTGTTTGAAGTATGGTATAGTGTTTCAAAGCATGTTCCCATTCCCAAAAGTTAGTGAGTTGTAACTGTACCAGCATCTGATTTTAACAGTATGCCAAAGGCACAGTATTTGTTCTTAAATGTCAGTCATTAGAGTTGGGCACCTACACAAATTCAATGAGTTCCAGTGGAATGATAACTGGTTCTTTAAGCTGGAAAATATAGAGGGACTCCAACTCAAATGGAGGGAAATTGACCACCGATTTAGAGACAGATAACCTGGGACAAGTAGATGCTCTCTGTAACTCAAAAGATTGACTTAAAAATCTTGAAGCATTATTCTGAATATGTTTTCAGCTTTCCAGAAACATGAAATGTATTCTCATCCAAATAGAAAGCACTCCCCGCACCTCCACACTACGCACGCGCGCGCGCGCGCGCACACACACACACACACACACACACAGTGCTAAAGCAAATATAGCAAAAGAAATATAGAAATAAGAACCAGCATCTTGCATTGGAAATACTGTGATCTTTGGGGCTGGACAGACCCACATTTGAATTCTAGCTCTCGCACTCACTGACTATGCCACACTGATCAAGTCACTTACTCTCTCAACCTAAGTCTCCTCATCCATAAAGTAGGTCAAATAATTATTTATGTGAGGCATTTCTGTGAGGATAATATATATCAATTGTCTGATATGTATGTATTCAATAAATAATGACTATCATAACTACTAATTTTTAAGACTACATTTGACCTCAAAGCATGTTGTTTATGTAAATTCTATAATTTAAAAAAATAAGCCTTGCTACCTAAAGAAATGTAGAACTAATACTTATAACATATTGAAATTTTTTAAAAATTACTAAATTAGCATATGATTAAGACTAGCAGTCTGATTTAACTTGTCTTTGATGGAATTTCTTTCTCACACATTGTATCCTAATATTAGGAAACAACAAAACAAGAAAAGCAATTTGATGTATGTTTGCACACATGTTGCCTTTTTTTTTCTTTTAACATTATTCCCACTTGAAAATACTCAGTACTGTCTCTTGTGTCTCTCTTCTCTCCCAATAATCAAGGTCTCTCCAGGACCTTTCCAAGCAAACAGAAATCCCTTATGGCACAGTCCTAGACTCTGCAGTATATGAGCATGTCCGCATGAAAGGACTGAATCCTTTTGAGAGGGATAGCATGTATTCCCAAATGTGGCGGATGATCAACCGAAGCAACGGGTCGGAGAACAATGTTCTGGAGTCCCAAGCAGGCATTCAAAAGGTAATGTCCATGGTTGTCCATTAATAGTCCTTACCATTTTGTTTCCCATGCTGGAATTACGAAGTTGAGATTTTTTTTTTTAATCTTTAATGCTGACAGAGAATTTCCTGTTAAATTACATCTTATATTGATTTAAAGATTTTTTAAATGGCTGATGACACCAGAAAGGGAATTCAAAGTCCTCTGTAATGTGTCTAACAGATCGGTTTCCATTTGAATTCCAAAATCAAATACACACCCTGGTATTTTGTTCAGAAAAGGGTTAAGGACTTAACGAACATGAAGTCTAAAAAGATTTTTAGAAATCCAATTCCAAATATCATTCAAGTTATCTGATTCTTTTAAATGACTCAGGGTATTTTCTACACTGCACTTGTTTTTAGATTAAACCGTTATCTTTAGTTGTGCTTATGTGAAGTTATCTGGAAGTAAAAGTTAATCTTGTCAACAAATAAGGTTCCTACAGATGTCTGTTTCTATTTCCAAATGTGAAAATCTTTATTTACATCTTGCTTTTTCTATAACTATCTGTATTAAAAAGGCATAGAAAGACTTTTTTATGTGAAAATCTTAAAGCTATTTTTACTCTGAGCTGTAGTTTATAAACATATATACAGAAGCAGTTCAAACCCTATCAACCTCAATGAGATATCTGACTGTTTTTTCTTAAAATCATCTCTAGTGATTAACCTAGTGAAAATTGTTGTTGACATTTAATAAATAATTACAGAATGCAGGAATGAATGTCAGTAATAGCAGCAATAGTAGTATACACTTTTTCTCTCTGACCTCCCACTGCAGAATAATTTGGACTCCAAGTCTATGTTTCCTGTTCTAAAGGCAAACTCAATAATATCATGCTAGAGGATATTTTGATGACTATAAAAATTATTCTGTGACAGGTTTCAGCATTAGTCTCTGCTTTTTCATCTAGCACCCTTTATCTGCCACTGCTACTACTATGGTCCCTAGAGTCAGCCTAGTAATTCTTGCAGTCACCATACTGATATCATTCTTCTGAGAGCTGATAATGCTAACATAAACCTTTCTCCAAGTATTAATGATGTCTTTAAGGAAGTGAATATCCTGGAGATGTTAGCAATGGCCTCTATCCTCTTTGCCCTGATTATACCCCATTTTCTGGAACTCAGTTATTGATTCTAAAATATTTCTTGGCTTTCTCAAGAGAACCATTGGCTCCTGGAGTTTCAGCATGGTTCTCCCAGTTAATGGGGTGTGGGGTTGAGGGATGGATCCAAGTAGGTAAATGAACATGTATTTTGGGGGAAGGGAGAAGGAGGGTAGACATTTTAAGGCTTACCAGGTACTCATAGCATGTTAATGAATTTGTGTTCAGAATAAGTATACTAAATGGCTTTGAAGATAAGTTACATTCCTTTATAATGTCTGTTAAAAATGAATTTTTTTGATGATTACTATGAATAGAAATTTATAGTTCATATTTCTATTCCATTTTAGGAGCCAAAGCTCCCTATGCCTTTATAACCTCATTCTATACAGTATTATTCCACAGAAATTTAATTTTATTTTCTCCCACCAGCGTGGTATTGATAGACACATCAACTTGGGTTTGAATCCAGCTCATTTTTAAAATAAAATGTATAAACATAACTAGTTACTTAAAATCTCTGGGCCTTGGGAGTTGCATCATGAAGATAAGAATTCTACCTCACACAGTTTTTGTCAAGATTAAATAAGATAATAAATATAAAGCATCAATAAGTAGTATGAGTAGAGCCATAAATCTTTCTCATAAGATGGCCCTGAAGATTACCTGAGATAATGTATATGTGAGGGATTTGTAATTATAAAGCTTTATTGTTTAATATTTCCTAACCTTCATGTAAAGTTGTGATATAATAAAATAAAGATTCAATAAAAGAGGTAGAGAATAATTTCTATTCTTCGTCTGCTGATAAGGAGGGCTAATGAGTTTGAAACTGCAAATCAAGTCCTCAAGTATTTATTATCTCAGTTTTCTGATTTACTAGAGGGCTAGTGAAAATGCCCTTCTGAATGAATTTATAATAGAAAATATCTAAGTGAAATTTGTTTGTACTATGTATTTCTTTCAACCCAAATTAGAAACAGCTGACAATTGATTAGGCAGAGAACAGCTAATAATAATACGTATTTTGGTTCAAGTTTACAAGGTCTTGGCCAGTTTCTGTTAAAAAACAAAACAACCAACAAACAAATAATAACCTTTTCACCTGATAAAGTTCATTGGAGTTTCATGAAATTGAGAACTGACACATGAAATGCAGTTGTGTATTCTTCTTCAAGAAACGAGTCTTGAACATTTCACACAGCAGCTTTTTATTCTCTGTCATTGATTTCTGACTTATACAGGCAGATAAGACATCAGAGGTCTTTTAGGTCAACATTTCACAAAAGGCCACACTTCTTCTATAATATCTTGAGCAAGAATCCATAAATCCATATATGTGTGTGTGTATATATGTATATATTATATGTTATATTACATATGTATATTATATAATGTATATTATATATTATGTACATTATATAATGTATATTATATATACACACACTATATGGATATATATACACACTATATATGGATATGTATACACACACACACAATATATATATATGGATATATATAGTAACTGCCTTCCAGGAAAGACTGAATCACTGAGAAAAACCATCCTCACAATCTATAACTTTAAATAGATTCCATTAATGTCTCCGTCTTTGTTTATTCTTAATTGTGCTACTAGTCTCGTTAAGTTTCTCTTACTGAAAGGTAGATACTGATCTCATCCACTATCTTGATTTGGCTTGTACCAAAGAAATCTGTGTAAATGAGCATCAAGTAGATGAGTTCTGATTTGCTATCCTTAGTATCAAACTACCCTAAGTAAACTAGAACAGATTTTTTTTCTGCCTTGTTTCAACCAAGACCTTTTGCATAAGTAGAAAAAATATGATTTTTAACATGCAACTGCATGTTTTATGCATTCATTCAACAATTATGTATTGAGCACCTTCTTCGTGTCAAGCAGTACATTAGTCACTGGGATGGACAGAAATGAAAACAAATGCCTTCATGGAGTTTGCATTATAGTAGGTGTAAACAATAAACAAGTATGTTCAGTAGTGAGAATTGTTAAGGACAAAAAATAAAGTAGGAGAAGAGGATGGGAAATACTGAGAAGCAAGGTAATCTGCTTTATTAAATCAGGTAGCCAGGGAAGTCTTCACTAAGAAAGTAACATCTGAATAAAAACTTTAAGCAGGTTGGAGAGGGGAGAGTGTGTGTATGTCTGAGTAAAGTGTTTTTAGAAAGAGGATCAGCCAGTACAAAGGCCCTGAGGTAGAAGCATGCCTACATGTTCCAAGAATATGAAAGAGGCCAGTATGGCTTCAGAAATAAGGAATAATACCAGAAGTGCAACAAGGTCAAGAAGTAAAAGGTCTGAAGGTAGAGAGAAGATGAATCATGTGGGGTCTAGCAATGCAAAGTGTAGTCCTGTGGACTAGCAGTGTCTGAATCACGTGAGAGCTTCCTAAAAATATAGACACTCATGCCCCATCCCAGCCTTTCTACATGTGAATCTCATTTTAACAATATCCATAGGTGGTTCATATGCATGTTAAAGTTGAGTTGTGCTAATGCAGGACTGTCTAGAACATTCTAAGGTGACTTTTTCTCTATGTGGGATATGAAACCTCAGGATAGTTTTGAACTGAAGAGCAACATGATAACATATTTTGGCAAATCGTATGACTATTGTGCTGAGACAAATGGAAGATGGCAACATGGAAGCTGGAAGCCCGTTAGGAGGCCATGATGGTGACTCAGCAACATTCTGAAATTACATCATGAGAAGTTCATTTCTCTTAAAACCCAAATACATCTTAAAAGACTGTGACTTTGAGCAGTTATTGGCATTAGCACATTAGTGGAATTTAGTCTATTAGATTATTTTAGAAGGGCCTAGGATATAAACAGATATAGCTTCTGAGAGTAGATGTAGAAACTTCCAGGTGGCAGGTGAGGATCTGACCAGAGATTAAGGATCATATGGAGTACTAAAATAGGGAAGTCTCTGATTATTATGAGGGCGATATTCACTTTCCTTTAATCTATTATAACTCCTGGGGAAAAAAACAAATCGTTCTAGAATCTTAGCATAGAAGACCACTAGAGAAGTGAATAAAACCAGGATTGGTAGGATAGGATTTGTAAGTGAATAATACTTCAGACTATGAAATTCCAAGGGGATATGTACGCTCAAATGGATAACATAGTAACAGGGAAGTCGGTAGTGGTGCCAGCACCAGCAGTATTCAGTCATAAAGATAGCATTAATGTATAAGGCTGTCTGTCTGTAGAAGTCTGAGAGCAATATGGGAAAAAGGGTGCTATTACTGCGGGGAACTCACAAGCTCCAAAGTGGGCATCAGGGCTGCAGCCAAGCCACTGGACTTCAGGGCCTAGCTCTAATCCCAGCTGGAAAAGTGATGTATTAAAATGGAAGCCAACACAAAAGATTGGTCATATCAATATGAGCCAATGTCATGGGTTTTAGAAGACTGAGGCAGGAAGACAAATTCCAGACCCTATGAACCTAGTGAGTAAGCCTACCCCAGTTTTATTCAGCTCTGGCTGAAAAACTAAGTGGACTTGAACCTGCTATTTTACATACTCATTCAACACATATTCAGTGAATACCTATTGTTTCCAAGGCTCTGTTCTAGGCATTGGAGGGTGTAATAGAACAGGTAAAGTTCCTGCCTAAATGGAGATTATATTGTAGTGAAGAGGAGATAACAGACAAGCATAAATGTGGGCTCTAAAGAAAAATTTGAAAGGTAAGAATGAAAAAAAAAGCAGAGCATGAAGAGGATGTTGCCATCCCATATTGGGTGGTTGGGAAATACTTCTCTGAGAAACTGACATTTGAATGGAGACCTGAAAGAGGACAGGGGGTGAACCATGCATATAGTTG